GGAGGTGGGGGTTCGGGTGTGAAGTGAGGAGGGCTGTGGGTGGGGGTTCGGGTGTGAAGTGAGGAGGTGGGGGGTGGGGGGGAGGAGTCGGGATCGAACAGCCAATAGGAACGCCCGGAGTTTCAATCCCTCATTTGCATATGGAAGGCTATATCAGGTCAAAGCGCTTCGCTCTCCGCTTCATATCGCCGCGTGGGTTCGGTCCGTCTCAGTCTCTCTCTCTCTCTCTCTCTGTGTTCCTCGGCAGGTGAACGGCTGCGGCTATGCCCGAGATCGTGGGGAAGCGCTCGGTGGCCAAGAAAGGCTCCAAGAAGACGGTGTCCCGACTCGGCAAGAAGGGCGACAAGAAGCGCAGGAAGGCCCGGAGGCAGAGCTACAACATCTACATCTACAAGGTGCTGAAGCAGGTCCACCCGGACACCGGCATCTCCTCCCGGGCCATGAGCATCATGAACTCCTTCGTCAACGACATCTTCGAGCGCATCGGCATCGAGTCCTCCCGCCTGATCCACTACAGCCGCCGCCAGACCATCTCCTCCCGGGAGATCCAGAGCGCCGTCCGCCTGCTGCTGCCCGGGGAGTTGGCCAAACACGCCGTCTCCGAGGGCACGAAGGCCGTCACCAAGTACACGAGCGCCAAGTGAGGTGTCCTCCCTCCCGCGCGGGGACGAAAGTGTCCTCTCGTTTCTTCTCTCTCCCTCCGTCCACAAACATAGACCAAAGGCTCTTTTAAGAGCCGCTTTAAACACGTCCCGAGGAAGGAGCTGAGCGACACGCGTTGACCGTCGATGTGCGTCGGCGACCAGAATAATCCTCGGCGTTTTGTTTCGGTGCCTTAATCCCGTCCTCCCAGACCGACGCAGCGAGAGACGTTGCACAGGTCGACGGGCGGACATCTCTCGGGACGCGGTGCAGGTTGTCGGGCGCGTATCTCGCGCGCGGTGTACGGCACCCAACACCCGAAGTCGTTTCGACCCCCACCCCACCCCACCCCACCCAGCGCCACGCGCGAGAAACCACCGCCCGCCCATTCGGTCAACGCCGTTGGCAGAGCGTTTAACACCCACCGCCACCCTTCCCTCCTCCGCCGCCATCGCTCCCGCGCGAGCCGAGCCCTCGCCTGCCATCAGCTCCGCCCTCTCGTTTTGATTGGCCGCGGCGCCCGACGGAGGGAACGAGCGGACCAATGGGAGCGGCGCCGGCTTTCCCACCCACCTCACTTCCGGCCCCACCCCCCCACCACACCCCCACACGGCTATAAAAGCGCGACGCCCGAGTGGCCACGCGTCCAGTGTCCGGAAGCGGCTGACGGCGACGGAGGAGTAGTAGAGAAACGGTAGCGAGAAGGCGGAGGAAGCGGCAGCGGTGGTGGTGGTGTGGAGTAGGAGGAGGAGAGGCGGCGGCACGACCCCGCGCACCATGCCCGCTTGCGGCGGCGGCAAGGGCACGGCGGCCAAGAAGAGGATCGCCAAGAAAGTCGCCGCCGCCGCCGCCAAAGTGACCAGGAAGGGCAGTAGCAGCAGCAGCGGCGGCGTGGCAGCGTGGCGGGGCCGGGGCCGGGGGGAGGCGGCGCCGCCGCAAGCGCAGGACGCAGAGCTACACCTCGTACGTGTACAAGGTGCTGAAGCAGGTGCACCCGAACACGGGCATCTCGTCGTCGGCCATGAGCGTCATGAACTCGTTCGTCAACGACGTCTTCGAGCGCATCGCCTGCGAGGCCTACTACCTGATCCAGTACAGCAAGCGGCAGACCATCTCGTCGCGGGAGATCCAGACGGCGGTCCGGCTGCTGCTGCCGGGGGAGCTCGCCAAGCACGCCGTGTCCGAGGGCACCAAGGCCGTGACCAAGTACACCAGCTGCAAATGAGGGCCGGGGGGTGGGGTAAAGGAAGAGGAGGGAGGACCCCCCCCCCGCGCCCCTTCTTTCTCCACCTCCATCCCTTTCCCTCCCTCCATCCCCTCTCTCCCTCTCTTTCTCAGTCAACCGATCGCCTCCTCACTTCGAGCAGCGAAACTCGACCAAAACAAAACAAAAAACCCTTCAAAATAAATTTAACTTTATTTATTCCTATTTATCATCGATTTTTTTTCTCGCTCGTCGATAATTTTTTTCTTCCCTTCCTCCCTTTTTTTTTTCCCCCCCTCTCCCTTCCCCCATTTCCGTTTCTTCTCTCCCCACCCCCACCCCCCCCCCTTCCCCGCCCCGGCGAAGAGGGGGGAAAAAAAAATCCACCGAGTTTTATTTTTGCTGCCGAACGACGACGGCAAAGTACGTTAAATTGTAGTCATCATATTTTTTTTTTTTGCACAGGGTTTCTCTCGGTTCAGAAAGTCCCACCGCCCCGAGCCCCGCGTCCGGCACCACCGGAGCGGGAGCGGAGCCGGACGCGGTGACTTGTTTCGTGGCGGGACGCGGGCGGCAGCCGATCGTCGCGCGCACTGCGGCGGCGTCTCCGCAAACAGCCGCGGGTCCAGGGACTGAATTATTATTATTTACGCCTCGAAAGGAACGGTGATGCACCCGAGTCTGCGTCGTATCTCCATCCAGGAGACGGTACGTTCTATCCGCACCACAGGAGTCCTGTGGCTCAGCGGTTAGAGCACTCGCTTTGCAAGTGAGAGACCTGAGTTCAATTCCAGGCAGAGGGCGAAACCTCGGGCAAGTTTCCTTACTCCACACAGAGCCTAATAATAATCCTCCAAAACCCCAAACAATAATAAATTGGTCATTTTCAATCCACGACTGTTTGTGGGACATTGCTGTGCGCCATCGGCCGCCGCGTTCGCCCACAAATATACAGTCAATTCACTTTACAGTGTGTTCTGTGAAGCGCTTTGGGACGTCCTCCCGACGTGAAAAGCGCTATATCAAATGCAAGGATTACTATTATTATTAAATACGCGGTGACCGAAGAGTTGTGATACCGTCGCAATAAGTCTTCCAGAAACTACGACGTTTCCTCGGATAATAGGGGCGGTTATCACGACTGTTTGGTCTCACTGTCTATCTGAGGTACACAACAACATATAATAAGAGTATATCTCTGTAGAGATGCACATAAATCTATATTTAATACACACTCGTGTTTTGACCTGATCACACGTCTTCGCGCCGTCTCAAAAGCGCTTCACCGCGAAGCGCAGTGACTGTGCATTCTGGGGGCGAGACCCGGCAGCCGATCGCGCCCGGCGACGTCCCCGACAAAACAGCCGTGGGTTGACGCGACCGAAATGATTGTACTTAACAGGTGGCGGCCAATCCGTTTACGTACGCTGTCTATTTGCTGTACGCTGTCCGGCGCCTCGGGACGTCCTCCCGCCGTGAAAGGCGCTGTACAAACGTAATCTCATCGTCGTGGTCGTCGTCGTACGCTATCTCTCTGAGTGGAGTCCGGTACGCGACCGGTTGCGGGGACGTCGCTGAGCGCAATCGGCCGCCCCGTCCGGCCCGGAACGCACGCGCAAGCCTTCGCAGAAGCCCTCCGAGACGTCTCGAAGGCGTAGACCGGGCGCCGCAGGGACCTGTCGTTGCGGTGGTCGGCGGGGGTTCGGGGCCGGACCTATCCTGACGCGCGACGAGAGACTCGGGGACACCTTTTTACTTCAACAAACGTTTAATCGAACGAACTCGGAAGGAAAGAAAAACAACCGTCTCTCGAAAAGAACGGAGCGCGGCCACGCGGACGCGCGCGCGCGCGCACACGCGTGACGTCCCCCGACGCGCAAAGCCTCCCTCGAGTGTCCCCCCCCCCCCACCCCCACACACTCCTCCGTGTCCGCCCGTCCGCCTTCTTCTCCGGTGCAGCGAGTTTACACGGAGGCAAAAAAGACTTAAGACGCAGAGAACAACGCGCGTGGGATTCGCTAATTGTTGGGGCAAATACCAATGGAAATAATACTCCAGGCTGTCGCTTGCGGAAAGAAACCCCCACCACACCCCCACCCGCTCCGACACCCCCCACCCACCCCGTCCCCCGTCCGACCGGATCATTCGTCTGCCGCGAAAAAGGATGGCGTCCGCGCGCTCGCTCCTTCCTCGCACGAGCGCGCGCGCGCCTGCACGCGCGCTCGCACTCTCATTCACACGCACACACTCGTTCGCTCACGCAAGCGAGCGCACCCTCGCGCGCGCGCACGTACTTGCTCATTCCTCGCAGGTGCGGGCAAACGCGCACGCGCACACGCTCACGTGCGCGCTCACTCGCTCGCCCACGTGCGCACTCACTCACGCGCGCGCGCGCACTCACGTGCATTCCTCACACACGCAAGCACACACACACTCACGTGCGCACTCACTCACTCACACGCACACACACGCACACGTGCACACTCGCATACGCACGCGCGCACACACACACACACACTCACGCGCGCGCACACACTCGCACATACACGCACGGATCCTCTGGACGTCTAAATACAGTTAAACGCTCGCCCTGAACAACCATAACAATAACAATTGATGAGTTGAATGCAATATTAAGTGCTCCCGAATTATCGTTATGATGGTGCGTCCGCGCGTGTCGAGGGGGAAAAAATGGGGGTAACAGCACTTTGTGAACACCCTCAACTTACCGCCCAACCCGGATACCATCGAGCGAGCGCAGAGTGCTCGCTGATCCCTCTCGCGTCCGTCTCCCTCCCGCGTCTCACCTCCTTCCTCACTCCCTCCCTCCCCTCCCCGTCTCTCTCTCCCCCGTCCCGCCCCCACCCCCCCCCACTCCAGCGCCTCCCTCATTGCTTCTGCTGAATGGCCTCTTTCCTGGCGGCGTCCTGGAGCAGCTGCGTGTCGACCTCGTCCGCGGGAAGCTGGACGTAGCGAACCACCGAGCCTCGGATGAAGCAGTTCTTCACCGAGAGCTGGAACAAAAAAAAAAAACCGCAGCGGCGGCGCAGCGTTTACACCGCGCCCCTTCACTCAGGGTAGCGCCTCGGAGCGCTTAACGGCGGCGCGGAGCCTGGGGCCGAGCTGGGCGGAGGGGGCCTCAATGATAACAATCCTCGTAACGATAATCGTTTGACCCGGCGCCGTATCGCGTCTTCGAGACGCGCTCGAAAGCGCTTCGCGGGACACGCGGTGACGTGCGGCGACCGCGCGTCCCGCGGGCGAAGCGGGGCAGAGCCAATCGCCGCCGGCGACGTCCACCGTGGATGTTGTTATTATTATTAGTATTATTATTAGTTATTCTGGAGGGGTTATTCCCCCCCACACACACACACACACACACACACACACACCCCCACCCCACCCCCGGGAAAAGCTGATCCGCCAATCGGCTTTCCCTACTTACCGGGTTCCTACGTACTGCTGCGGGCGTGTGTGCGTGTGCGTGTGCGCGTGTGTCTGCGCGTGTGGGGAACGAGGCCGTGGAGGGCTTTGACGGTGAGTGAGGGTCCGGCCACTCACCATGTGAGGATACTTCTCTGGGTCCGTGACGCTGATGTCGGTCAGTTTGATGTTCAGGTACTGGCAAAGGAAAGCGAGAGGTTAAGCGTCCAATGCATTGGGGGAGTGGCAGATCCGATCCCACCCTGACACCCCCACCCCTCACACCCGCTTGCCACCCCCCCCACCCCACCCAACCCGCTCCCGTTTGTCCCTCGACCCCCCCCCCCCCCCCCCTCCGTTCCACCATCGGCGGCCGTGCCTTCAGCCACTCCGCCCCGAAACCGTCCCTCGATCCCTCCGCCTCGCCCCCCCCCCCCCCGTCCCTCACTCCCTCCCTCCCCACAGTCAAACCCCACCTAAAGACCTTCCTTTCCGATCCTGCCTTCGGTCGCCTCCCCCCATCCCTCTCTCTCGCCCCACCCGCCCCCACCCCACCGGCTCGGGATCAGACTCCGCCGACTGGAACGCTACCCCAGCATCGAAGGGGGGGGGGGGGGGGGTGGGGGGGCTGTGTAAATCAATGCAAGTTGTTGTTGTTGTTGTTGTGTTGCTGAGAGATTTTGACCTCTGAAACACGTTCCTTCCTCTCGGCTCGAGAGGTGACGATGGTCTTTACCTGATCAACGGAGTGTAGAGTTCCGCAGATGCTATCGAACAAGGAGAGGAAATAACACGAGTTGAGATAATAATAATAATAATAATAATAATAATAATAATAATAATAATCCTTGCATTTGACACGGCGCCCTTTTCACGTCGTCGAGACGTCTCAAAGCGCTTCACACGATATGTTGTCAAGTCTGGTGGCTCGGGTGTGTTTTGGGGGCGAAAAGGGGCAGCCGATCGCGCCCGGCGACGTCCCCGCAAACAGCCGTGGGTTGAAGGGACCAAATTAATTTGTTTCGGAAGGGATTATTACCCCCAGAAAGCGATCTGACAAGTGGGTTCCTGCTTACTGCCGCTGTAAACAGAGGTGTTTGTGTGGTTGTCTGTCTGTGTGTGCTGTGTGTGTGTGTGCTGTGTGTGTGTGTCTGCGTGTGTGTGTGTGCCTGTGTGTGCTGTGTCTGTGTCTGTGTGTGCTGTGTGTGCTGTGTATGTGTGAGTGTGTGCCTGTGTGTGCTGTGTATGTGTGTGTGTCTTTGTGTGTGTGTGTGTGTGTGCTGTGTACGTGTGTGGGTCTGTGTGTGCTGTGTATGTGTGTGTGTCTGTGTGTGCTGTGTGTCTTTGTGTGTGTGTGTGCACTGTGTACGTGTGTGGGTGTGTGTGTGTGTGTGAGCTGTGTATGTGTGTGTGCTGTGTATGTTTGTGCCTGTGTGTGCTGTGTGTGTGTCTTTGTGTGCTGTGTATGTGTGTATGTCTCTGTGTGTCTCTGTGTGTGTGTATCTGTGTGTGTGTGCGCGGAGTAAGGAAACTTGCCAGACATTTCGCCCTGACCTGACCTGACCCGCCCGGGAATCGAACCCGGGTCCTCTCTCATTTACGGGGGTGGGGGGCGTGGGTGGGGGTTGGTAGGAGGGTGACCGAAGGCACAGTCGGTCGAAGAGGAGGGTCTCGAGACGGGCCTTGAAGGAGGCGAGGGAGGGAGCGAGACGAAGGGACTGTGGGATGGAGTTCCACGGGATGAGGGGCGGAGAGGCCGAAGGCCCGCGGGCAAGTTGAGAGCCCAACCCGACGATACAGTTGCCCCGTTGCCTCCCACTGGCCAACTCGCCCAACCCCCTTCCCTCTCTCTCCGCTACCGTCCGACCATCCATCGTCGCCCCCCCCCCCCCCCCCCCCAGTGAGATCCACACGCACCTGAGATCGTTCTTCAGTTCCACCACCACATCCTTCCCCACCAGGGACTTGAAAAAAGAGTAGAACAACTGGAAGGTGGAAAGAGACGGGTGTTGAGATCTCGAAGCGCTTCGCAGAGTACCATAACGTAACCCGTAGGAGCAGGAGGAGGCCATTCGGCCCTCCGAGCCTCTGCCCCGCCATTCAATCCCGGCGGATCTTCTAATCTAACTCCAGCTGATAAACCCGACGCTGCCTTCTCCCCATATCCCTTCATCCCAATAAGAAATCTATCCATCTCAGTCTCGAATATGTTCGAGGACTGAGCGTCAACAGCCCTTTGGGGTAGTGAGTTCCATACCTTCACTGCCCCTTTGAGTGAAGAAAGTCGTTCCTCAACTCAGTGCGAAAGGGTTGGCCTCTGATTTTGAGGCTGTGACCCCTGGTTTTAGTTTCTCCAACCGGGAAGGTCCTCGAGACGATGCTTTGAAGGAGGGGGTTGAGTGGGGGGGGGGGGGGAGAAGGGGAGAGGGCGAAGGAACTCTCGGGTCTAAAAATAAAGCTCGCAGGGGATACCGTGTGGGGCAAGACGGTGGGTTTAAGAGTGAGGATAATAATAATAATAATAATAATAATCCTTGCGTTTGATGTAGCGCTTTTCACGTCTTCTCGGCGTCTCAAAGCGCTTCACAGAATAGACCGTCGAGCGAACTGACCGTATATTTGGGGGCGAAACGCGGCCTTGGGGGGAGAGCAGGGGAATGGGGGGGAGGAGGGAATGGGGGGGGAGAGCAGGGGAATGGGAGAGCAGGGGAATGGGGGGAGAGGAAGGGGAAGGGGGGGGGGAGAGCAGGGGAGAGCAGGGGAATGGGGGGGAGAGCAGGGGAATGGGGGGGGGGGAGAGCAGGGGAATGGGGGGGGGGGAGAGCAGGGGAATGGGGGGGGGAGAGCAGGGGAATGGGGGGGGGGAGAGCAGGGGAATGGGGGGGGGAGGAGGGAATGGTGGGGGGAGAGCAGGGGAATGGTGGGGGGAGGAGGGGAATGGTGGGGGAGAGGAGGGGAATGGTGGGGGGAGAGCAGGGGAATGGGGGAGAGCAGGGAATGGGGGGGAGAGCAGGGGAAATGGGGGGGAGGAGGGGGGGGAAATGGGGGAGGAGGGGAATGGTGGGGAGAGCAGGGGAATGGGGGGGTGGAAAGCAGGGGAATAGGGGGGGAGAGCAGGGGAATGTGGGGGGGAGAGCAGGGGAATGGGGGGGAGAGCGGGGAATGGGGGGGGAGTAGGGGAATGGGGGGGAGAGCAGGGGAATGGGGGGGGGGAGAGCAGGGAATGGGGGGGGGAGAGCAGGGGAATGGGGGGGGAGAGCAGGGGAATGGGGGGGGAGAGCAGGGGAATGGGGGGGAGAGCAGGGGAATGGGGGGGAGAGCAGGGGAATGGGGGGGGAGAGCAGGGGAATGGGGGGGGGAGAGCAGGGGAATGGTGGGGGGAGAGCAGGGGAATGGGAGAGCAGTGGAATGGGGGGGGGAGAGCAGGGGAATGGGGGGGGAGAGCAGGGGAATGGGGGGGGGGAGAGCAGGGAATGGGGGGGGGGGAGAGCAGGGGAATGGTGGGGGGAGAGCAGGGAATGGGGGGGGAGAGCAGGGAATGGGGGGAGAGCAGGGGAATGGGGGGGAGAGCAGGGGAATGGGGGGGGGAGCAGGGGAATGGGGGGGGGGAGAGCAGGGGAATGGGGGGGGGAGAGCAGGGGAATGGGGGGGGAGAGCAGGGGAATGGGGGGGGGAGAGCAGGGGAATGGGGGGGGGAGAGCAGGGGAATGGGGGGGGGGAGTAGGGGAATGGGGGGGGAGAGCAGGGGAATGGGGGGGGGAGAGCAGGGGAATGGGGGGGGAGAGCAGGGGAATGGGGGGGGGGAGAGCAGGGGAATGGGGGGGGGAGAGCAGGGGAATGGGGGGGGAGAGCAGGGGAATGGGGGGGGGAGAGCAGGGGGGGGTAGAGCAGGGGAATGGGGGGGGAGAGCAGGGGAATGGGGGGGGAGAGCAGGGGAATGGGGGGGGGAGAGCAGGGAATGGGGGGGGGAGAGCAGGGGAATGGGGGGGAGAGCAGGGGAATGGGGGGGGAGAGCAGGGGAATGGGGGGGGGAGAGGGGAATGGGGGGAGAGCAGGGGAATGGGGGGGGAGGAGGGGAATGGGGGGGAGGAGTAGGGGAATGGGGGGGGAGGAGGGGAATGGGGGGGAGTAGGGAATGGGGGGGGAGGGGGGGGGAAGGTCAGAGAACATGACCCACTTCCCTCCACCCCGGCCCTGGGCTCAGGGTTTAGGCAAGTCCCAGGCTTCACCCGGGCCTGGAGTCTCAGCCCGGGTTGGGTGGGGGGGGGGGGGGAGGGGGGGGGTCTCACACAGGGTCAGACACAGCCCGGGTGGTGTGTGTGTTGTGGGGGGGGGGGGGAGAGTGGGGGGGGGGGAGAGCGCCGCGACTCACCATCCTCCCGCCACCAGCTCCGATTCAATCAGCGACTGAGGAGTCCTCCAGCCCCGCCCCCTCCACCACCAGCAGTCCTCCAGCCCCGCCCCTACACCACCGCCAGTCCTCCAGCCGCGCCCCTACACACCAGTCCTCCAGTCCCGCCTCTCAATCACAACCAGTCCGCCAGCCCGCCCCCTCCACCACCAGTCATCCAGCCCCGCCCCTCCATCACAACCCAGTTCTCCAGCCCCGCCCTCTCCACCACCACCAGTCCTCCAGCCCCGCCCCCTCCACCACCACCCAGTCCTCCAGCCCCGCCCCCCCTCCACCACCACCCAGTCCTCATTTATAGAGCACCTTTCACATCGGGAGGACGTCCCGAGGCGTTGGGACAGTTGGGTCGGGACCAGAGCATTGGGGC